GATCAGGGAGGATGATTCAACCACTCAACCACTAGATGTGGCTGAAAACAACAAATCCTACACACTGTGCCTTTAACATATATAAAAAACAATCTGCAGTAATGTATACAGGGTCTTAGTGTCTTCGTTATTTGATGACGTTGGTCATTATTTAAAATTCGGCTTAAGCAATAGCTGGACAGATTGGTCTACCTCTAGAAACAGCAGTAAATTATGCAAACTAGATAAAATACATAGTTTTGCTTAAAWATAAATATTTTGTTGTATTCTGCATCTACCTTTTCAGTGCGTTGCAGCACTGTTTCCATTCAGGCTTATTATTAGCAGTGAGAAGGGGACATATGCTTAGTGTTTGGTCGAGCCATGTTCAGGCAGATTAGTGCAGCATCAATTAGTCCACTGTGGTGGTATTCTGAAGGACAGTGAAGCAATCAAATAGCCTGAGCTGTTAATGATTTCCAAAGTGCCTGCGGGGAGCAGCTTGTCAAGCGCTGAGCCAGTTTTTSTACAGCTCACAGTCTCCTGGTTTCCACCACATTATTAGGACATGTGCCAGCTGCTCTGGGCCATGAGAGTGATTGACAGCTGCTTACTACAAAAGTCATCCAAACCCAAGCCGCCTCAAAAATACCACTCCTTTTGAATCTGAGGCATTATTTCTAGCTCTGTTTTTTTTTTATTTATAAACGCCACAGTGTCTTATCACTTTGATGTGATTACAAAGTGATACTTGTGTGTTTGTGTGTCTGGGYGTACTGAGCGTGTTTGTGTAAAGGGGAGAAGGAAAGAGAGACAATGTGCACAGAAATTCGAGGATATCTGTTCTCTATTAGAATGTTTCAGGTAAGGCAAGCCTCCGACGAGGAAACAGAGGTACAAAACAAGAGAAGAAGAGGGAAGGAAGACGCTCTGTTGCAGTTAGTCTGCTACATATCACAGTATCTGGGCTGAAAGCATCTTTGTTCTCGAAAGAATCTCAAAATGTATCCTCTGTCAAGAGAGACGCACACACGCACAGCAAGAGGAAGTCAACCAAGTACAGGACAGATACATTTTGAAGCATCAATGCAGGCGACATGTGGCTTGATACTAATTTCGTACTTTGAGTAAAGCTTTGCTCCCAACTGAACGCCGAGAGAACAAAATTAGTATCAACGCTTCATCATGTCTGCAACCAGTGGCCCCATAGCTTAGTGTAACTTATTTTAGAGCTGTGTGCTTTTCGTATATTTACAGTTAAGGCTGTAGCTTTCCGAAAAGGTTATGCTAAGTGTGTGTGTAGACTCTACTTTTATCCATCGCCAAAGAGTTTTTAAAAAACTCTTGATACATATTGAACTCCTCACACAATATTCTGACTGTGACTGTGTTTTTTTATGTAGAAGTTACACTTCAAGCTCCCATGGGGCATGATGCTAGGAGGAGAAGCTCCTCGGTAGCAAATCAAAGAAAGATAAAGGAGAAAAAGACCAGGTTTCAGAGCAAGCACAACTCGACACACTCATCCCACCTGTGTGTCCGGAGTCGCACTCCTCCAGGTCCTCGTCGTCGCTGGAGCACTCGGCGGACGAAACAATGTCATCTGTCGTCTGTGCGGGAAACACATTCACAGGGAGAGAGAGAGAGAGAGAGAGAGAGAGAGAGAGAGAGAGAGAGAGAGAGAGAGAGAGAGAGAGAGAGAGAGAGAGAGAGAGAGAGAGAGAGAGAGAGAGAGAGAGAGAGAGAGAGAGAGAGAGAGGAGGACGTGGTTAGACCTGAGGTAGTGCACACAGTCGTTCCATTCAAGGATATCTCTGCACACAGACCCCTCCGCCCATCCCTCTGCTCACATATATCACTTGGAGTCAATCATATTTCACAGTGTTTATCATTCTTTACTTTATGTGCTTTCCTCCTCCGCAGATAATTGTTTTCCTTCACCCTCCGCGCTCTGCCTCCGATTATTTATCGCCTCTCYCCTCCTCCATCGTCCACAATCAATGAGACCCACCAAGCCAGCCCAGATCAACCGCTTCCCAGCTTCTGATTTGTGCTCGAGGCGGCAGGAGGAGGGGAAAGGATGGGGTGGGGGGCCCACCGGAGTCACCGGCTACACCTGGACCAACCATGGATTATCTGCACCTTCCAGTTTGCACAAATCTGATTTATCCCCCCTCTCCCCCCTTTTTTTCTCGCCCCTCTCCTTTTGGTCGACCCACCGAAGACAGAAGGGGTGGGGTGTGGGAGGCGTCGTATTTCAGCGGAGGTGTGCTGGGCAGACGGCATTTATTAGAATGAATCAACGGGGCGATAAAATAAGCCCTGTCACCAAGCTGGGTTATGAAATCAGAGTGCTGATTGAGTTTTCCCCGTCCTGGCCGGGGGTGCRGGGGCTCTAAATATCATTGGGTTTGACAGACTAATGAAACGCGCCCCCATGGTTCTGCTGCATTCAACAGGGCGAACGGAAAGCTGTCCTCATCTGCCAGATGCTGAAGCACAAACAAGCCGCACGATGAAAAAGCTGATCTTTCAAAGCATATTCCTAATGCGCTCCGTGATTACACATGATGGCCCGTGCCATTTTCTGTATCAGTACATTTGTAAATGTGTTAGTGCGTGTTTACACTGCTGTGCATAATACACCACATTATGTACTGTACTCCATTCTGAGGAGGCTAAAGCAGGAGGGGAGGCTCGAGAGTAAACTGCTGTGAAATATGGCCTCTTGGTAAACATGACATTATTTATTGAAGCCACATTACGGGCGTAAAAGTCTTGCTTATTGCTTGTTATTACGATAGCAGCAGATGTGGGAGGCAGCCACACCGAGGGGGGAGATGAAACACCACTTCAAAGTCTGTTCCGGCGATTCCCGACCCGAGACGGTTTCAACGAAAAAAAAAACCCTCCGTCCTCGCTCGTGCCTCACGTCGCCGCAGCTGACGTCAAAAACATCTCGGCTCAGGAAACATTTGCACTCAGATGGAAGCGGCGGATCTCACGGGCTTTACATATTTAAAATCCAAAAGTTAAGCTTAATAACAATCTGCTGAATTAAACACAACGAGGACTGCGGCATCAGCTGTTAAATATTRAACAAGGATTGCTGCACCTGAGTAGCATTATTATGAATTGTTTCATAAGAGAAACATCTGCCTGAACAGCAGAGATTACTTTAATAGTTAACTGGAGCCAATGATGGAGATGGATTTTTGTGTATGATCATTTGTCTGTGTCTGTGCTCATGTGTTGATGTGGCTKTGAGCAGAATACCTCATGAATTACTGCATGGATTTTAATGAAACTTTCAGGAAATAATCACTGGATGTACAGCTACAAMTGGTTAACTTTTGGAAWCAATCCAATTAAAGATGGCTGCCACAGCAAACTGATCTGAGAAAATACAAAAATGTCTTTCATTCTGACAATTTTTCAGTTATTGTASTAAATTTTTGAGTGGTTGTAGCTGAGAGTATTCACAACACATATCTAAGTGCTACTCGCTGTGCAAGAGCTTTGCCTAAAATATGATGCTGATGACACTTGATTATATTTAGWTAATAATTTCTACTTAATAAATGCAGTTGTACTTACAGCAAAATACCATWTTGACTGTAGAAAATATAGATATAATGAGCATGAACACATTTAAATCATACTATTCTTTATTAAGTACAGTAAAAACTGGAAAACTTCTAGAATCATAATCACATTAGATCACTACATA